CTAAGAATTATTTAGTATGTACTTTTTAGATATTATACACAAGTAAGACTTTACAAGAAAATTCCACTGTCATCCCTTAATTATATTTTTGTACAGTAGGTATTTAAAATTAGTTTCGTTCCTGTAATTTATTGCTTTCTAACGACCACCCTCGGTCGTGTCGCGTTTTTAGTGGGGACTGATTTGAAACGTCAATCTTATAGGTGGACTAATATAATGTTCTCACACAATCAACATTTTTTATAATGTTTTTACATGGTCACTTTTAACTGAAAGCATAACATTTATAACATAATCCTTGCTAATTCAAGGTATATTTAAATTGTTTGAGCAAGTTTATTCTGTGTAGTATTCGAAATTTAAATTGTTTCGAAATTTAATTTAAAGAAAAAAAATGGACTTTTTATGAGAAAGGAGGACAGATAGATGAGGGTTCAGTAAGTGGAAGGTAAATTACTCCAGCCATGTACCTAACATCTCAACAAGATTCGGTGTCAATTTATATTGGCTTTAGATATTTGGAAATCCAGTGATTGAAACCGGCTTTTCATCTCTGTACGGTGGTAACCCGGGCGGAATGTATATTACTACCACCCTTTCTTATATGCAGATTTCCACAAGGAGTCCAACATTTCTTAGAAAAATCAAAATCAGACACATTGTGGACCTCGTGGCGATCGAACCCCGAATTGTTAGTTAAAGACTACTACAATTAGACCAACGAGCTCGTCTCCTTCATAATTTTACTGCCTTCATTGCTAAAAGTTAGCCCTGAGTTCGACTCCCGTGAGCTGACACACAAAAAGCTGAATTTACTCTTTTATATTAAATCTATAATTAAACAGGTGTAGAAAAGCTTTTTCAATTTATTTTAATTACAGACCGACGTTTCGGGTGCTTTGCAGCAGCCGTTGTCGCGTGGGACCGTTTATTCAATTGTGAGCTACTCGCGTAAACTACAGACAGTACTTTTAATGTAATTTACAACTTGAATACTAAATCAGTAGCGTATTCAACAAATTGTGAAACTTCAACAGATAACAAGAGCCGTGTTATTAGTTTGTTTGTATGTTGATAATGGAACTTGAGATTATCTGACAAGTTAAAATATTCCGCTCTTTTCGTTTTTAATGCGGCATAGATTACTGTTAAGGCGAGGATAGACATAAATAATTATTGAGATTTTGTCCAAGCTATAACTTTTCAATACAAAGACTTGGATCAATTACTACCTACGAACAACTAAAACAATATTTTAGGAATCAGAATTCATTGATAAATTAATGTTTTCTTGTATGTTTTTTTAAATAATTAAAGTTAATATTGTTTCTTTATTAATGTTTGAACTAAATATATATTTATTCACCTTTAAATAATAGGGGGCAGATTGCCTCTTAATCCTTCATCTTCGGAAAGGTTAGTTCCTTATTCTGCAAAGCCATTTTTCCTCATGTCCGATTGCTTATTATCATTGGAAAATCTTAATATTAAATTGTTATAGAATACAAATCGAAGTTCCGTACGCGCCGCGAACCGCCGTCCACAAATGGAAATGTCAAATGTCAAAAGATAATCGTATTTCGTTTGTCAGTCTGTGGATTTCTAAATATCCAAAGACAACATTTCGTTTAGATGTTATATTGGCTAGTTTGTTACCTTCCATAAAATGAATTCTACAAGTGTTTGTCCTCCTTGGTCATTAAATTAATAGGCTTTAAAACAAATGTGGTTTCTGGTAAGACATGGTGTTCTTGTAGATTTAAATAATATAACATCTTACACACTATGTATATAAGGACGGTGTAGAATAAATCTTCCAAATATGGCTTCCGTTAAGACGTTATATTTATTAGCAGCGTTGCGAGTATTGTATTATTTCAAGGCATTCAAACTAAAACATATTTTTACGTACGTCCTATATGGCTTCAGTGGGGTCGTTTGCAGGTTGCTTATTTGTCAGGTAAATGGAATAAGCGGCATAGTGTTGTATGTAAATTATAACCAGGTAATATCTAACATATTGAAGCTAAACTTTTTATTATAACAATTTCCAGTTAGAATTTTTATCAATGAATAACCTTACAATTCTAACTTGAAAGCTTTGTAATTCTAAAAGGATATAAATATACTTAGATATTTCAAGATGTCTACCTCGTTTAAAATATACCAATTCTTACTTAATATATTCTACTAAAGTAGAACCAATTAAGCTTCCATTTGACATTTTGTCTAAGTCGTATAAAGCATCGCAGAGACATAATATTCGAAGGAACCTAATATTTCCTTACAAGTATTAGATACATTTACAAGATTCTATATTTAAATGCATGCAAATCGAATCGAAATGGAAATAAATTCATACTGCACTTTTACGAAAAAGTTTTAGCTTAGAGATATTAAATTGGACTTACTTTAACAAACGCACGAAAGCCTTTAGAAAGTCCACATAAAATTAAGCTTATATTAAAAAAAAATATTGTATAGGTAGATTTAGATTAAAATCGGTTTAAATTTACGACTCGGGCTGGACTTACACTGACATCCACAGCGTTCCGTGCTGTTGTTCTAACTAAGAAACCAAGTCCTACGCGTCATTGTCGATTTTTTTGAACATACGTATTGATACAAGCAACTCTCGCGCAAGATGGAAATTACTAACCAGAAAAATGATTGTTTTTTAATTATGTTGTTATTTTATATTATACTTAGTTCTTGGTTCAATAAGTAACTTCGCCTTAACTCTAACCATAGGTGTAGAATTTAAATCATGAGACATTTAGTTCTTGAAGATCTGAAGCCGTAATGAATTACTGTTTTAGCAAATAAAGATAAGGATGTCCTCACATTTTCAAGATTTTCAACGCGTGACATTATCATAATGATTTATCATTGATAATGATTGTAAAAAACATGCATCCTCCCCGGATTATTTAAGTGTGACTAATTCTTTACCTAGAAAACATCTATTTTCAATGAATTCCTTCCTTCTTTTAATTTATATACTTACTTCAAAAATAAACTTATTTGTTGTTTGATAAGATTTATAATTTTATATAAAAATAATTACCTAAAAAGAAACAACAAAGGCAATACCTATTTTTAATAATTAAAGTGCTAAATTAATTAATGTATCTTACTTCTCTACATTACTCCATTTTGGGTTTTTTTCGTTGAAATCCGCCATTTTGACATAACGTCATGCATAATGTCAAGTCTTCGGAATTCGCGGGAAATTCAAATCCACTTAAATATATTTTAAGTTGCTTGAGTTAAACAAAAATATCTAATCAGAAAACGTAAACATCCACTGGACCTAGTCCCTTAACGAAATATTAACTAAATATAGTTCACGTATACAAACAAAAGAAATTATATTTTTCTCAGCTACCTACCTATCACAACACAATTTAGCCATACAATTTTTTAAAGAAAATACTCGTCCATTGTAAAACTCTTGTCAATAATTGTTACCGATCAATAAAAGGTTTCGTCTGGAGTTTCAAATACCATACAGATTAAAGATTGCTTTTGTTTTACACTTAGCACCCCAATATTTTTGAAAATAAGCACCTTTAATATTGTTCTTCATGCTTTTTAAGTGTAGGGTTGCACGGTACTTCAATAGGTATCTACAGATAGATATATAACCTTATTTTTAAACAAAACTTTAAAGAAAATATAAAAAATAATTTAATTAAATTTTTTGCCAGAACGATCGATATCGATACACGCAGTTTTAAATGAACGAAAGAATGATAGAAAATACCAAATAGATAATTTTAATTACAAACTGTTAAATTTATAATTATTACTAATATTTCTTTTAAATAAAACACTCGAATGTTTAAAAATCCGCTATATATATCCGATATAACTTATTTGAAAATTATTTTAACTACGTCCCGACGCGGACGTATCGAATGTTCGCAGCCGTAGTCACGGGGAGACAACTAGTTGGTATATATCACGTTTTAAACTGTTAAAGTGTTTTATTTAAATGTTACTTCCGTAAACTACAGACAGTGGTGATACTTCATGAATTATATTAACATTGTAACGCTCATTAAAATATGTTGTCTAGCAATGGCTTTAATATAGAATATAATGCGACAGAAATAATTATTACCTACGTAACTGTTATAAAGATAAAAAAAATACATCAATTGCGTTGATATGAACACAAACGTTTAAGTTAAATTCCTTTGAGCCGTAGAACAGGTGGCGAGGCAAGTTTGAGATAGTAAAGTTATTAATACATTTTTAAGTTAACCATCGAAGGCTGTATCCGTCAAAAGTTTGATAACCTCCAGTGGCCGTGACCTCCATTCGGCGACCGATACCGATCCGCTGCCAACACTAGGTAGGTACCTCTATCTACGTACGATCTACGCTACACGATATTCCATATAAACCCTACTCCCTGTAACGTATCATAAATGTCATATCATATATTAAGAAGTCTTATTGAAATTATTTTTTCTAATAATCATAAAATGACAGGTCAAAGAAACGAGTTGTAAGTTCAGATTGTATTTATGGTTTATGCTTGCAAATTAAATTACTTTAAACGCTCTGAAATGTGTTTTAAGTTAATAAAATATGGAAGCGATATAAATCGCGTTTCAAGCCGCTAAGAGTGGTTTTATTCAAACGTACGTAACGAGCGCTCATTCGCGCTTCCGCGGCATCCCGTCCCATATTGATTGCCGGTGACATTCTTATCAATACACCCCCGGCGCGACCGCTCCACTCGCCACCCAAAAGAAACAGGAGCGTTTCTTCGCGCGCCCGCAACACAACGGAAAAAAGGGCGGAGGCAGCACCGCGCGCGCCGCGGCCAATGGAGTCGGGGCCGCAGCGGCGGGCGGCCAATGGCGCGCCGGAGCCGGGGCGGGCGCGCGCAAGCGGCCGCGCCCTCGTTTCGCTCGCCCTTTTTATTTATTGTTGCGCGAACGACCGCGCGCGACGGGCGTGTGATGCGCGTTTAGACGACTGCGAGCATGGAGTCCGCCGTGGACTCAGCGTCGACCGCGAGTGAGGTGAGCGGCTCTTCCGGGGGCTCGCCGAGGGTGAAGGCCGCTTCTCCGGCGCGCGCGGTCAGCCCGCCGCAGCTCTTGCAGCACAGGATGCCGCTGCCGCCGCCGGGGCTCGGCCTCCTGGGCTCGCTGCAGATGATGCACCACTCGCCGCTCGAGCTGATGGCGGCCGCGCACCACCACGGGCCTCCGCGGTACGGCAGCCCGCCGCCCATCTCCACCTCGGATCCGTCGGCCAACGAATGCAAGCTGGTCGACTACCGCGGCCAGAAGGTCGCCGCGTTCATTATTCAGGGCGACACCATGTTATGCTTGCCGCAGGCGTTCGAACTGTTTTTGAAGCACTTGGTGGGAGGCCTACACACTGTGTACACGAAGTTGAAGAGACTGGACATAGTGCCGCTGGTGTGCAATGTGGAACAGGTGCGAATCCTTCGGGGCCTCGGCGCCATCCAGCCGGGCGTCAACCGCTGCAAGCTGCTGTCCTGCAAGGACTTCGACGTGCTCTACAGAGACTGCACCACGGCAAGGTACGTTTCTTCACTATACCTAGACGTTTCACTGTTCCCGTTATTTAATTTCGTTTAGTTAGACGTAGACCGTTCACGTTGAGTAATCTTTGCTTCTTCTTTTGGTTTTTGATTTTTGTTTTTGTAATTGTAATACACATCTTATCATTAATGTTAGAACTATTGTTATATTTAAAATTATAATTATTCTTGTACGTGCATAAAAATAGAATATACGAAAGGACAGTAATTTTGAAAACTAAGTAAATTACTTTGTACGTAATTTCCTCGTTTTTTCTTAATAATTACACAACTTCAAAAGTCAATTTTTTAATACATTTGTTAAGATTTTTCCACTCGTTAATCGCCTAAATTTCGTTAGTGAAAATTTGAACTAAACAACTTTTACGACACCGAAACATCTCTACAGTAGAGGGTCGCGCGCTACGCATTAATTTTTCACATTTTAATACGCGCCAAATATTTCCACGGGGCTAAATATTAGAGCATTCCAGCGACGGAAGGGTTAAAATCTCTGTTAATTAGTGGCCGGCTTATGCATTTTTAAGTTGTAATTTTTACAAACGCTAAAGTTAGATTAAAAAATCTTGTTCGTGTGGCGCAAATCGCTGGCCCGCTAGGCCTATATCTTTATCCCTGAATGCGATTTTAAAAATGTAATGTGCGTGGATACTGGGCTTTTGGGAGTTGTAAACTTCGCTTTTCCTATTGGACTTTTGTTTTTGTAATATTTAATGTTTGTTTTATGAACTGAACGCTTGTTTGGGGGTGACGAGCCGGTTTAGGTGGCTTTTGTAATTTTTACCTTTTCATTTATATTTTTTAAATTGAACAGTGGTGCTTTTATTATTCGAGTACCAATTTGTAATGTCCCTTGGTTTAATTGTTCCCACTGAACTGAATAGCAGGTTTATTTTTATCGAAGTTTCGTAACGCACACATTTTGTCATACTTTAGAGAAATTTACATCATGTGATTGTTCTGTGTAAAACAAATGACTGTTAATAATTTAGCAAAATTAATCTGACTTTTCTTAAATTATTTTATTCAATAAATCATTCATTTAATAAATCTGAAAGAAATCTCAATATTTCCAGTAGAAATTTCAGTTTTAATCTTAAATATTATTAAGTGAACTATTCAATTTAGTTCAATTACTTGCATACCTATAAAATTAAGAGTGACCCACCTTTGAATTAATTTAATTGATAAATGTCTACAATAAATTAGTTTAGTCAGAATTTAGCACAAACATAATCTCGATAAAGTCCTAAATCTTTGTCTTATCGCGTCAGAATTATTTATTATCCGAATAATCTGTGTTCTCGACTATAACGAAATAATAACAATATTTAAAAATAAGTAACCCATAATATTTTACACATATTATTTATAATCATGTTGGATTCAACCAAAATTAATCACAAATAGTTTCATAATTAAATAATATACCTAATCTAGATTTTTCAGTTCGTACCTATCTGTTAACTACAGTGTTTAGCTTGTTAATAGATATTATAATTAGAATTTTTATCCTAATGTAACTAAAATATACAGTTAATTATTAACTTACCTAATTTTAAAAATAGAACAATAGATAATTGGCGGAAAGTTTTTTGAAGCGCGTGGATTTATAATCTATCAATATCTTTGCGTTTCCGCGCGGCTGCGCTGGCGCGTCTTTTTCTCGTTTGACGAGCCGTGTCTTCTTTAACTGGTTAATTAATAAGAGATTTTGTTTTTCCATTTCGTTCCTGCATATACTTAAATAAGATTGCTATCTATGAAAATTATACCGTTTTGTACCTAGATTCATTTCTTCGTTGTTACATTTGCCGAACCAATTTTGCATACAACAAAACACTACATTAATACTAAAATAAATAATAAATACCCCGTGACGGGAAAGCATCCCGAACATCTACGGCCTGTTATTTAAATAAAGTTAAAATTAATTGCAAATAACTAATATAAATCGCGTTTTACGGTTTTAAACAGTTAAAAGTTTTTATATACGTTATACTCGTAAACTGCAATATAACTCACTCTGCTTTAAATGTAAAAATTCACATTTATAAATAGTTATATGTGTTGCAAATTCAATTTTACAATTACACCTATTTAACTAAAAATCTATAAGTAGCTTAATATAGGTATATGAAAAAATATAGCTTTAATGAATGCAAATTAAAGTATATTTTAAATTAGTTTTAATATTAAAGTAGAACTTTTCAAATACAACTTTTAATAAATATAAATAAGAATAACATTATTGCTTTGGGTTTTAAAAACTTCAAAATGGCCGTCGATAACATTCGAATTTCGAAATTCAAAAGCAACGTGCAACGTGTCAAGTTAAAATGTATTGACATGTTTCCACTATTACGGTTTCAGTGATTCCATCTTAAAAGAAATACAGATTACGAATGGTTTTTTATTACACTCGATAGCTTCGTGTGTGGACTTTGTTTGATGAGGTTGACTTGCGAAAAGGTTTTATGTGTCTAGAATCTACCTACTTAGATTTTAGCTCTGTGGTCTTTTTTGTATTTAAGGAAATATATTTATAGGAAATTTAGCACTTACGATGTGATAGGTTAGAATTTACGTAAAAGCGCTTTTTTTCCGTAGATTCCGGTTTTTTTATATATAAGTATTGAGCCTTCGTTCTGTGATAAATTAACAAGTGATGTATATAATTGTTATTTTTATATGATTAGTACATTATTAGCAATGATAAAATTTGATTCCCGGCGCATGTGGGCCACAATATGGTGCTAGGAAATGCGATATTTTCAAGAACGCATCGCCCGCATAACAAAACGTGTATAATAGGTGGACGTTCCTTTTCACGCTTCAATAATTGCTCGACAGCAGATAAACGAGATCGGATCGGGTTTCATTCGCTGTTCAACGGAACCCCAACTTCATTCTAACTTATAACTCTTTCGTATGCTCTATATACGTGCTATGTTGACCTTCGTGGCTCTATAGCTACACGTTGCTTTAGTTTGAGCGGCTTTGGGTTCGAATTTCGAGAAAGCATACCATAAATCGGACTTGTCAGATTTGTTTAAATACTTAACTAGCAATAAAATCGATAGAATAGTCAAAGAAAGGTGCTTAACCTTTTATCTTCTATCTAGTTAATTTCCTAACACGGATGAGTTTATTTTATTAGTCAAATAAACGTTCTGTAAATAAATGTAATTTAAGTATAAAAATTATTGATTGATTCTATGTAGAACCCAAGGTTTCTCAAGGTTATTTTGAAAAGAGATATGAATATTGTAATAACAATATAGATTTTTATTTTGAAATTTTAAGGGTTTAAAAATTATTTCACTCGATAACTTGCTGCGAATTAAAGATATGCGTTTTAACTTGCTTAAGAAATTAGTTACAAATCTAGGTTGTTTAATGTTATTTCATGCTTGCTTAATTAAAAGTGCTATTTTATTTGACACACATGCCATTAGTAACACGTTGTTGTAAAAAGACACTAGCAAAGACACTAGCAGTATATATTTATGTTTTCATGTAGTAATCACTTAAATAGATATCTCTCTCTCGAAACAATTTAAAATTTTACGACAAAGCAACTTATCAGTAATTAACAACAAATTAATTACTTAACACCAATCAACGCGTTAAATTCACAACATCCACTGAATTTCCATTCCGTCTGTCATTCGATTCCCTTAAAGACTCGGTGTTTCTTAATCAATACGCAGTTCGGTTCCGTCCATTGTCTCGTCTTGTCAATTACGGAGGTCATCAACACGACTTTTTATGGAATTTTCAGCTTTACGACGCATTTGATGGTCCGCCTTCAAACGGAGTGATATTTCGTAAATAAACAAAGCACTGAAATAACAGCGTCACTACCTTTGTAGAGCCGGTGTGACGGAACCGGGCGATCATTTTTTGTTGTGTTCCAAACGCGAAAGGATTGAAATATACAAAAAGGATTACAAGCGTTTGATGCTTACGTTTCTAATGTTTGTTTTAGATCTCTTAAATATTATGGGCGTAAGGAGAGGGCTTATCTGTTACGTTTCAATATTAGCTTCTGACTTTTAAATAAAAACGCGTTATATATTAGTGTCTTCCCATGACCAATGCTGCTGCAAAGCATCTGAAACGTCGGGCCGTAGTTAAAATAATTTTCAAAAAAATATAACTAATATATATCAGGTTTTAAACCGTTAAAGTGTTTTATTTCAATGTGTACTATTCAACGTAAGCTATAGACAGTATTTAGCTTGTGATTGTAAATGGTAGTTTGGACTTTTTTAACACGATGAAAGAATATTAGTTAATAACTATTTTTCGCCTTTCCGGCGCTTTCGCCAGGCTTTAAATTGTCATAAAATTTTCTTATTACTGCCAAAGTTCAATACAATGCGCTTTATTACATATTTATGGAATAATTCTAGTTTATGTGAATTCTCAATTACGTTACATTTACATCAGTCTTTGTACTCAGAACGAATCAAAATAATTTGATATTTAGCTGAAGAATTAACCATGAAAGCTTTGGGTTTTTCTATTGTTACAACAATTCAAAGCGTAGTGTAGTACTATTAAAGTAATATCTAATGTTGTAAAATTTTCAATTACATTGCATTGATTTTATAATTTAACAAATAACTAAGTTAGTTTTATAAGAGTTTAATTCTATTTTCTGTATATGGCGCATGAAGCCGTATTATCATTTGACTTGGTAGGCATTCATGAATTGGTTTACTTTATTATATAGTATAGCCTACGAAGATAGTATTGAAAACGGAATGACCAAAGATAGTGTGTGGCATGTGCGAGCAAGTGTTCTGAATGATGAAACCCCGACTGGCGAGGCTCCAAGCCGTGGTTCTCATTGAAATATTAAACCAAGACGTCGCTCGCACTGTCTCAAGCATATGCTAGCAATACTAAATTATATGCAACGTCTTCTGGGGGGTTGCATGTTCGACTATCCGCTGGCTTCGTGTGTAGAA